CCGACAACCACTTCAATTGAACACCTGACTGCCAACTATTTTGTAAGACCAATCTCATCGAAAAATTGATCAAGTGGCAAATCCTCCTTTCCTTTTCTGCAACTTTTGCTTTTGTTATTTTTATCCTTTTTTTTACTCTACATTTTGTTTCTTATTATTTATTACGAACTGTGGAGGCAGATTGCATCAATCAGGAAATTGGCGGATATTTTTCTATTTTACATTTGTCTTTTTTCTTTTTAAAACACTTGCTACAAATCAGGGAAAAGTCAACGAATTTTATTAAAAGTACTGAAAAATATTCAAATTCTACCAATAATTTATTTTAAGTAACTTAATTCTTGGAGAACTGTCATAAAATTATTGCTTCTAAATTATATACCTAATGAATTAAATTGATTTAAATTAAAATTATTTATTTCAAAACTAATTGAATTTTATGCACTGAAAAAAATTTATTTAATTCAAATAACCGTTTACTTGTCAATTATCAATTAAATATTTGATTTAATCAAATAATATTTTTTGGAATCAATTAAATGGTATTTCTCTCCAATACTGAAATTATTAGTTCAACAATCATTTAATTGTGTCCAATAAATATTATTTGATTCAAATAAATATTTAATTGATAATTGTCAAGTAATCGGTTATTTGAATAAAATGCATTTTTTTCAATGTAAGTGTTATGTTTACAATTTCCACAAATAAATTAACTTCAAAAGCTTTCAATTTGAAATTTTATAAATTTTCAATTTTGAAAGAATTTAATTACAATTTTAAAGACCTTGATTTTTTTCAAAATTTATAATAATTATAATTCTTCTGAAATATGTTCAATTTTTTAATTCAATTAATTATTAAAAATAATGGATTTGTAGAAGAATTTTATTTAAAAATTCTAATAAAAATTGAATTTTGGAGAAATTGGAAATAATTGAAATTTTTAGAAAAAATTGAATTTTGGAGAAATTAGAAATAATTGAAATTTTTAGAAATAATTGAATTTTGAAAAGGTTTTACATTTAAATATTTCTACAATCTAAATTTTTCATAATTTTAAATAATAATTCTGTGGAAATTTTTTTTTTTTTTGAAAAAATTTAATTTCAATTTTAATGAAATCAGTTGAATTTTTTAATATAGATATTTAATATTATTTCAAAAATATTAACGCAATTCTTCGAAAGATTTCAATTACATATCTTGATAAATATCAAAACTCTTTCCAAAAACTCAATTATTTTCAGGAATTTTAATAAAATTCTTTGCAAAATTTAATTATTTTCAAAATTAATAAAATTCTTGGCAAAAATTCAATTATTTTCAAAAATTTGAATAAAATTTTTGGCAAAATTTCAATTTTTTTAATTCAATGATTATCTACTATTTAAAAAAAGTTTCGCAAAATACTTGAATTGTTGAATTATGTTAAAAAAATTTTGATAAATTCTACTCAAACATTCAATTATTTTTATAAATAACAATATTCATTAGAAGAATTCAATTATTTTTAAGAGGAATAAAATTCTTTGCAAAAATTCAATTATTTTCAAGAGTAATAAAATTCCTCGCAAAAATTCATTTATTTTCAAAAATTCAAATAAAATTTTTGGCAAATTTGAATTATTTTCAAAAATGTTTCTTATTTCAATAATTATATTTACTGTTTTAAAAAAATGTCTAAAAACAATTCAATTGTTTAAACAAAATTTTTACAAAATTCTACGCAAATATTCAATTATTTTCGTAAAGAATTTTCAATGCAATTTTAATTGAATTTCTCGAAAAATTGTAATTATTCTTAATAATAATAAAAATTTTGTTAAAATTCGGCGAATAAATTCAATTATTCAAAAGTTTGTTGATAAAATTCTTTATATAAGAATTCAATTTTAAAAAACATTGAATTATTCAATAAATTATTTATTTTGGTATTATAATAATTAAATTCTCGTAGAATTTTCTAATAAAAATTGATTTTAAAATTAATTTCCGTTAAAATGTTCTATAATAATTGAATATTAAAATCAATATAGGATGAATTTTTAGAAAGAATTGAATTTTAAAAATTTTAAATTATCATCGGTTTCTAATTAACAATTTTGTAAAAATAATTTTTTTGGAAAAGTTTAATTGAAATTTTTTTTGGAAATTATTTCAAATTTTTTTTTTTTATTGAAGAATTTCCAAATAATCGGAATTTCTAATTCGTAAATAAATGTATTAGAAATTTTTTTGAATATTTCATCATTTTTAAAGTCTTTAGGGTCAGGGAAAAAGTAAAAATTATGAATAGAAAAGTAAAAATTATTTGTAAATAAATGTGTGTCTCTCTAAAACTGAATCAGTGAAATTTGACTGATTTTCAGTAACTCTATTCATGCGATTTGTATCAGTGAAATTTCACTGAAGATCAGTTAAAAATTATTGAAATATATTCAGTAAAATTCCACTGATTCAAATCGCGAGAATAGAGTCACTTTTTTACTGATTCAGATTTAGAGTAACAAATCAAAAACTGGTTTATTTGATAATTCATAATTTGTGGTTTATAAAAAATTTTGAATCCAACATGAAGAAAAGAATCTTAACAGCATGTGACTGTTACAGAAATCAATGTTAATTTTTTCGACCACTTTTCTCTTAAAATATTAAATAAATTAAGCTAGTTTTTTGTGAATAACTCTAAAATATAATAAAGAAGAGCAGTGATGTGCAAAAGTTTTAATAATTCTAAAATAAATTATAAAAAAATACTTTGAAATCGGAAAAGACGAGAAATTGATTAAAAGTGATTTTGAGAACTGATAATTTTAAAGTTATTTTTTAATAAATAATTTTCAAAATATTAAAACTTTTTCACATCACTGCCCTTCTTTATGATATTTTAGAGTTATTGACAAAAAACTAGCTTAATTTATTTAATATTTTAAGAGAAAAGTGGTCGAAAAAATTAACATTGAATTCTGTAACAATCACATGCTGTTAAATTCATTTTGAGGCATCGGATTTTTAAAAAGGTCAATATAAAAATTGTCTCATCATCTTCACATAAAAGTACTTTGGCATTCAACAGGTCTCTCTTCACACTTTCATCGTCATATAAAAATAACACATTTTTGAATTAAAAAAGAAAAATAATAAATTGAATAACACAAGTATAGTATTAAAATAATAAATGAAAAAAATAAATCTTTATATCTTAATGTTATTAAGATAGCAATAAAAAAAATTTTATAGTAGTTTCGACTCTCGTGAAAGTTTTCTAATCAAAATTGATTCAATTCTGTCATAATATGAAAAAGGTCTCTGTTCGAAAGTAAGATTAATAAGTGCTTGCGGAGTATATACAATGGATGTAGAGTGCGTTATTCTAGAAGCGGCTTAAGATCATATCGTCGGTCTCAGAGGAGATAGAAAGAGAGAAAAACGAATTGAACTATATAGAGAATGATTGAGTGAGATGAAAAAGCAAACTCGATGTTGTAATGGAAGGAGAAGTTTATAGAATTGAGGAAGGGATTGAACTAGAGAAGGTGAGAGTCCGTGCAAGGTAATGTTAAGTTAGATTTACTTGGTCGACTCTTTTAAAGGCTGGACGCGATCGCCAAGGTCCCGTAGAAAGGGGCAGTCTTGACCTTTCAGCCTTTGAACGTTTTCTTTCCTTCCAAGACATTTTGTTGTGAGCAATTAATTTTATTTAAATTATATATTTCTTCATCTCACATATATACAACTGATCGAGATACTGCGTCTCTCATCTAATTTTCTATATATGCTTTATTCTATAGGCCTCTTATCAGATTTCATCAGTCGAAAAATATAAAATATTTCCCAATGTTAAAAATTTCATTTCATAGAATATAAAATTCTATACTTAAATTAAAGAATTAAATTTTTTTTTATTAAACATAAAATTATGATTGAGTCAATCGATTTTCTAATCATTTATTATATTGTGCAATGTACGCATACATGCGTTTTTTTTTGTTGGTAATTTCAAATTTATGGTCTGCCTGTAAAAATGATCGTTTAATTGAATAATGGAATAATTGTGTTGACACAAAATAAATAAACGTGTGCATCATGATTCAACGGAATTATAAGAGAGAAGAAAGAAAGAGGGAAAAAAAAATTGAATCATGGTGTGCATTCGATAAAATTGATGTGTTACAACATTTAACGGGATGTTTTTACTGAGTATTTAGGTTTCTTTAATAAATGGGATAAAAAGAATTTTTTTTTTTGATTTTGAAAAATTGTTGTTTTTACAATTTTGAGAAATTGTTTGTTGTTTTTTTCTTCATTTCTTTTTTTTTTTACTTTAGTTTAATAAATTATTGATGTTGGAAATGTTTTCTTTTTCATCGTGATGTTGGAAATTGAAATTATGACTGATGCCTTTAGGTCACGTCCGCTTCAGATCGTGCTAGGAAGCATCTCGTATCGATAATGCGGTTGAAAGCGAATTAAAGCCGTTACGTGATTGGAAAATATCTTTCGTGTTTTCTTCGCAGAAACTCGCGAAAGTCTAGACTAGACACCCAATATTTTCTAATTACTTTAAAGCAGAGATGAGTAAATTATGAGGGAATCTTCAGTTTGCTTTTGATTTATCACTTTCGTATTCTAGATAATAAATAGTTTCTGAATTTATAAATCGAGTGTGTGAATTAAAAAATTATTTTATAGTTTTCTTTTTTTTTATTATTATTATAGCTATAGTAATTTATTTACTTAAATTAAAATTCTAATAATTATTATTATTAATAATACCTAATAATAATAACACCTAAGAATAATAACAATTAAAATAATAATAAGAATAATAATAATAATAACTTTTATTATTTATACTATTTTTATATTAATAGAAATATATTTTTGGTTATTTATTTATTTATTTATTTACAATAAAATTTGTGCTCGAAGTGAATTCAATTCAATTCCCAATTCAAGCGATTATTGCAATTATTAACAGTACATTATTTTTTCAGGTGCATTGGATTTATTATAGATCGAGACTCCGTTATCGAAAGGAGAGAATCAACGTAAACTGTAAGTTAGTAAAAGTTAAACTAAAAACTATAAAGCTGAATGAATAAAAATTGAGCCACTAACTCGTATTAGTGGAACTAATTTCTTTGAATAATTTTTATTTCAATTTTGATGAAATTAGTTGAATTTTTTTAAATATTTTAAATATTTTAAAAAAATTTTAACGCAATTCTTCAAAAGAATTCAATTATCTTAATAAATATCGAAATTCTGAGAAATTCAATTATTTTCATGAATTTTAATAAAATTCTTTGCAAAATTAAACTATTTTCATAAATAGCAACATTTATCACAAGAATAATTCTATTATTTTCAAAAGAAAATTTTTATTTTTATTTTTATTTTTATTTTTATTTGCAAACTTTTAATTATTTTCACAAATTTTTCTCACTTCAATGATTATCTACTATTTTAATAAAATTTATCAAAAGAATTCAATTATTTAAAAAAAATTTGATAAAATTCTACGCAAACATTTAATTATTTAAAAGTTTTTTATAAACTCCGCAATTGTTTATTTATTTTCATAAATTTGGAAATTTTTTGCAGTGATTCAATTATTTTTTTCAATTATAAATTTTTTTAAATACAATTTTATTTGAAATCCTCAAAAAATGTAATTATTCTTAAAAATTTTATTAAAATTCGGCGAAGGAATTCAATTATCTTGATAAATGTCAAAATTCTTTCCATAAATTCAATTATTTTTATAAATAACAATATTCATGACAAGTATTCAATTATTTTCAAAAATTTTGATAAAATTCTTTATAAGAATATTAACTATAAATCATTATAAACATAAACTATAAATCTGAATTAATAAAAATTGAGTCATTAATTCGTATTAGCAGAATTTTTAAATGTATATTTAATATTACTTCAAAAATGTGAACGCAATTTTTCGAAAGAATTCAATTATCTTGATAAATATCGAAATTTTTCCAAGAAATTCAATTATTTTCTGAAATTTTAATAAAATTCTTTGCAAAATTCAATTATTTTTATAAATAGCAACATTCATCACAACAATTCAATTATTTTCAAAAGTAATAAAATTCTTTGCAGAAATTCAATTACTTTCAAAAATTTAAATAAATTTATTTGCAAATTTTCAATTATTTTCACAAATTTTTCTCATTAGAATAATTATCTACTATTTTAATAAAATTTCCCAAAGAATTCAATTATTTTTAAAAAATGTAATGCGTAGATTTAATTATTTAAAAGTTTTTTTTATAAACTTCGAAATAGATCATTTATTTTCATAAATTTTGAAATTTTTTGCAAGGTTTCAATTATTTTCTTCAATTATAAATTTTTTTTAGGAATTTAATTATTTTCATAAATAATAAAACTCATAGCAGAATTCCAATTTATATTTTTATAAATACAATTTTATTTAAATTTCTTGAAAAATGTAATTATTCTTAAAAATTTTATTAAAATTCGTCAAAAAGAATTCAATTATCTTGATAAATGTCAAAATTCTTTCCATAAATTCAATTATTTTCATAAATAACAATATTCATGACAAGAATTCAATTATTTTCAAAAATTTTGATAAAATTTTTTATAAGAATATTAACTGTAAATCATTATAAATATAAACTATAAATCTGAATTAATAAAAATTGAACCACTATAATTCGTATTAGTAAGAATATTCACTAATTTTAAGTATAATATATTATTTTATTTAGCAGTAATAATTTTTTGACTACAGTTTTAGTGAATAATTACTATAAACTTATTTCGTTAAAAAAGCCACTAATGCTACTATTTTTTAAACCGAGAGTTTAAATATCAATTAATTTAGTGAAAAATGTAATTATTCTATAAGATTCTAAACAAATTAAAGAGGATAAAAATATCGAGAAAAATTTTTTATAATTAAAAAAATTTTATTGTTATTGTAAAATATATTAAATATATTAAATATATTATTATTTTATTGTAAAAATTTTTACTCGGTCCGAGGTCTAGAATAAAATTAGTAAAATGTTATTGAGGAATTAGTAAAAATTCTTTTTAAAGTAATTTTTTAGCTCAATTTCTACTAATTCAGATTTGCATAAAATATCGTTATTATTGGTTATTTAATTATTTTTTTCTTTCTTTATTTATTTAACTGTAATGTTATTTATTTATGTAGTGGATTATTTTTTTATTTCTTTGTTTATTTGCATCTACATTTACGTGTATTTTTTGTATTTACAATTTAAAAAAACAAATCTATTATCATTATTTTATTTATTATCATTATTATTGTTACCATTATTATTATTATTATTATTATTATTATTATTATTATCACACAAATGATAATAATTTTATTTCTGATTAGTAAGTTTTTCGCAAGGAAGATTTTTTTTTTATTGAAACTACTTTCATCTTATCCTTTGATATTTCTTTTTACCTCTCGTTTTGATATTATTTTCTTTCGCATTTCTCTTTGAAAGTTTAATTTCTTTTCTCTCGTCAAAAGTAGTTTATTTCGTTTCTTTATTAGGACGGAAATTTAATTGTTATTTTTGTAAATAATATTTTAAGTATATAAACTTGAGGGAAAAATTTTCTGTAAAGAATTTTCAGTGAAATGATAATAATTCTATTTGACAAGTCGATGTTTCTCCCTATCGATTTATGCATATCCTGCTCTCTATAAAATTGCATTTTAATAGAGGAATCTGGACCAGAAGAATATCATTATAGATTGAGATTGTATATTATAATTAAAAAAAAAATGAAGAGCAAGAGATTATTTAAATTATTTAAAAAATTAAATTAATTAAATTAATTAAATTAATTAAATTAATTAAATTAAAATTAAAAATTAATTAAAAATTAAATTAAATTTTTTGGAATTATTTAGTTTTTTGATTATTTATAATAGAGAAGGAATTATTTTGACAGTTGGTTTTTAATTTCGTAATTTTATCTGTTTTGGATTTTTTTTCGTCGATATGTGCGTGTGTTAAATAATAATTGAAATTTATCAATAGGAAGGACAAAACGCTCTAACCTAGTTTTAACTGACAAACTTGTATGATTGAATTGTTGCTATCAATGCTCCAAATAGATTTAAAGATTAAAACTTTAGGTGTGCGACTTATATTTATATATTTATGCGTACATATTTTGAATCTCGGGATGATTTATTTTAGCAATCTTAAGTCTGATCTAGTTATCATGTTGTAGGAATAAATTAAAGTGAAATCTTGTAGAGGTCACAGAAACTTTCGAGATAAGAATTTTAAAAGTCTGCGCAAAGCAAGGTGTTGCTTTATATTAATATTTTATTTCTTCTTAATTACGTAGGTGCACTACATCATACAGAAAAATTATATTTTCATAATTCCCTTCTCATTTTTCCTTTTGCTTTTATTTCTTAATATTTTATACTTTGTATAATTTTAGCAAACATTTTTATCATTAAAAATTTATGACTTGTCACGTATATTTCTTAAATAAATAAATTTTATTAAAATTATTAATATTCATTTTATATTCATATTTTTTTGGTTAAAATTTAGCAAAACTGTCAAGATTGTCCCTTTTAACTTTCTAAAAAAAAAAAAAATACTGTTTTAATGTGCTTAGTCATTTCTGGGTAAACATTAAAAGCTATAAGTGGACTTCTTAACGCATCGATTTAATTTTTTATTTATACAATAATGAATGCAGTAATGCCAATTTTTATTGCTCCTTTTCGAATTCTTTTTATCTTTCTCGTTCATCAAAATTTGTAACGACTTTTAAATTTCTTTTCTGAATATTATTAGGAGAATTTTGGATTTGGGTATTATTTTTTTTTATTTAGAGAAAATGATGAGAATGTGGTTGTGGGCAGGGAATCGGTGTGACATAATAGGGAGATGGATTAGTTGCTCGAAATGATAGTTTAAAGTAGCGAGATAGAAATCTTCAGTGTGATAGAAGAGCTCCAGATGAATATGGAAGCAAAGCACTCGAACAAGATTTCACCCAATGACGTCGAGGGCTCAAAACGTGATCGACTAAAGCAGACCCTGTCAAGAATAATGCTGACTTGTCAGCTTGATCTGAAATAAAAATATAAAAACAGATGTAAATCGAACTCGATATTTATAAAAGAGCACACGATTTTTTGAACTTGATTCAATTTCTTCTGAAACTTGAATTTTTTTTCTTTATAAAATTATTGTTTAATATTTTTAAATAATTTTTAATTATTCGTTTTTTTAACAAATTTTTAATTTTTTTATTCAATTTTCAAGGCTTGAACTAGGTCCGTAAATCCCGTAAAAGTCCGTTTTTTTTTGGCAAAGGTTCGTAAAGTCCGTAATTTGATTCAAAAAGGATAAAAAGTTCGTAAATTATACGACATAATTTGAAGAATTTAAGAGAAATTACAAATGAATGCAGAAATTCAATTATTTTTAAAAGTAATAAAATTCTTCGTAGAAATTCAATTATGTTCAAAATTTTTTTTAAATTCTCATCAAAATTTCAATTATCTTTAGAAATAATAAAAATTTAATTATTTTCAAAAATTTTCCTCAATTCAACGATTTTCAATATCTACTACTTTAATAAAATTTTCCAAAAAAATTCAATTATTTAAAACAAGAATTCATTTTTTTCCATAAATAATAAAATATTAACAGGAATTCAATTATTTTTACAAATATTAAAATTCTTCTCAGGAATTCAATTATTTAAAAAAAATTTAAAGAAGTTCTCGTCATAATTTAAATTCTTTTTATAAATAATAAAATTCTTCTTCAAAATCCAATTATTTTCAAAAATTCTTGGCAAAATTTCAATTATATTCAAAAAATTTTCCTCAATTCAATGATTTTCAATATCTACTATTTTCATAAAAATTTTCAAAAAAAACTTCAATTATTTAAAAAAGAATGTAATACAATTCTACACAAACTTTTAATTATTTCCAAAAAATAATAAAAATTTTACAGGAATTTCATTATTTATAATTTTTTTTTAATAAATTTCTT